ATCGTCAGCTTTTCAGCATAAACCATTCCCACTAGCAATTTCTTCAGGAATTGCATTCTCTAGTTATATATACTGTACAAATACATACATGCACAGGACCAACACACCATAGGTTTGAATACAGGCCTGAATACACACATGCATAAACACATGCATTCTTTTAATTAAGAGGTGTCAGAACAAAGAGGCTGTCTGGAGCAGTTGGGGTTTTGTGCCTTGCTCAAGGACACCTTGGCAGTGTCCAGGAGGTGAACTGCCACCTCTCCAGCTACCAGTATAATGGTCCAATAGGGACTTGAACCGGCGACTCTAGGATGTTGTTTCTTTGTTGCCCACTTTATGGTGGCATTGGTAAAAGACTGACAACTAATTTCTTTTTTATCGTTTATTTGGCAGGGACAATGCACAGTAATGAACACTTAAAACATTAAAATGTGTCAAGCGTAACAGTGCCAGATTTAGCTTTGAACTAATTTCCATTTGCAGTCCCTCACAGAAAACATTTAAGAAGTTTACATTTTACAAACATAGCAAAAACAAAATACATGATATGCAAAAGGTGCAAAAGAGCAAGAGCAGCATACACAAGTATTTATGACATGGTAATACAATATAGCAGCAACGACATATAAAGTGCAAGAGAGGATACAAGAGCTACATAAAGTGCAAGAGGAGATTCCCCTATGTTAAAGTGCATTTAGCGGTGATTGCACAGATGTTTGTTTTTCAACCATTTTTTGAGTTGACCTTTGAAGCTATTGAGTGTGGGACAATCCCGTATCTCAGTTGGGAGGCTATTCCACAATGAGCTGCCTGACTATAACCCATTGAACTAAGATAAAAGGTTTTGTGGAGACTTCTTAGTGAGCAGGAACAGTGCACCAAAACCAAATTCATTATCTAGACTTTCTGATAGAGATGGTGCACAACATGATGTTCAAACAGGAAGTTAAAGAGGAAGGTGCCTGGATGTGATGGACCCAGCATGACCCAACTTTTCCACTTGCTTTATTTGTCCTCTCTGCACCTCTGTCAGGCTCAGTTTCTCTCTCTGAAATGTGCTCTTCTCTTATCGCTCTCTCCTATGTTCTCACTTTGAGCACTTAAACTAGGTTAAGTCAACAAATGGTTGGACACACACACACACACACACACACACACACACACACACACACACACACACACACACACACACACACACACACACACACACACACACACACACACACACACCCAGATCATTCACCATCAAGTTAGTTCAAAAGTTTGCAGTTCAAATATTCTGCTGCTTTTCTAAGCCTTTTTACTTTCTTTTCTTCACTCATCACACATTCAAGCCCCCAGAGTTCATGTATCATTTCAATCTAAATTCTTCACTTTCTTCTTACACATTACATTTCAGCATAGCAGTTTAGCGTCAGCTTTTCAGCATAAAGCATTCCCACTAGCAATTTCTTCAGGAATTGCATTCTCTAGTTGAATTGTTACTGTTTAATCTTACACACCAGGGTTTAATGCAACTGTAGTGTAGGGTCATAGTTTGATGCGCTGAGTCCTCACAAATTGTCAAACCCCTCAACACAAATGCCATTTTCATCAGTCTCAGCTGTATTTGTGTTGAGTGTATATCTACATATACTGTTTCATTCAGCTTTTTACGCTTCTTTTGGTATATTGCTTTTGGTTTATGTGGGACTTCAATTTTTGGTTTAATATTATTGCTATCATAGTGTTGCTTTCGGCTGTTTAACAAAGAAAAACCTCAGATATCCCACACTGTATGCTAGCTGCCCACCACCAAAGTACAGACACAGTGGAGCGTTGGAGCAGCTGAGAGCAAGATATTTCCATCACGCGGAGACCAGTACAGAGTTCATCAGGTGGCCAAAAGATGATGAAAAAGACAAATGTTTGCTTGCATGTTTGCCACAACAACCTTGTGAGGTGATCATTTCAAAGTCCTGTATTTGCAATGTTTGTTCTGCTGCCCCGATGTGGCCAACAGTGCACTTTGTTAAAGCAACAAAACCAACCTTAATTGAACTCAACAATGTCATTTCTGCTTCTTCTGCCAGGTGTGCTGTGATCACAAGTATCCCTGCAGGTGGTGCCGGTCCGTTTGATTGTAAGGGGATGGACGGTCGCTTCGTCAACATAGTCATCCCAGGACTGGAGGAGTTCCTGAGTCTGTGTGAGGTGGAGGTGTACGGCTCTCGTCTGGATTAAATAAAGAACTGGAGAAGTTCACAATGTAAAAGAAAACCAAAAATCACTTCTTTCTAAAATCATCTCATAATGACAGTGATTTCATTTTGAGAATGTTTAGAGCCCTACTTGCTTACATATTATACCAGGGGTATTCAACTAAAATTCAACGAGGTCCAGTTAGAGACAATCTCCCCATGCAAAGGTCCGGAACATCAAAATGTCTATCTTGCTTTATGAATTAGTGTGATATATATTGAAGTAGCTTGTAGCTTTATCAACGTCTGCATGTAATCAACAAAAGACTGCCAATCAAATAAAGAAAGTACAATTCAAAAACAACAATATTTATTGTCAATTAACATTGAACTATACAGATATACAGTAAATACTGTGGATATGTGTAATGTTCCTCTCTGGCTGCATTTAAAAATAAAATAGAGAAATAAAATAAAATAGCTTTTGAAAATGTGTGCATCTTAAAAGTGCATAATTTTAGATAAATAAAATAAAGTGTAGCAGCAGCTTGAGTTTCCTTTTTTCTTTGTTAACCGTTTCACATCATGACTTAACAGTTTCAGCCGATTATAGAACAATATCAGTCTTTACACATCATAACAATTGAACAGTTTTAAAGTTTCTCTTTCTTTCCCTCTTATATTGCAGTCCCTCACTCACTTTTTTTTGTTCAGTGCGAGAATTGAGCTTGAGCTTGTCCTGCCAGGATTTTAAATCTGTGCGTTTCACATTGGCACTTTTAATGTCTTTCATTTTTGTAAAGCACGTTGAATTGCCTTGTGTTGAAAGGTGCTATATAAATAAACTTGCCTTGCCTTACTCCTCTACATTTATTTAATGCCTTTAGTTATTTTACAGCCAACCGATATGAAGTCCCTGAACGACTCAATGGAGCAGAGATCCGCATTTGAGATTCTCTTGTAAACAATGGTGCTGACAATCCCAGGTAATTTACAGCCTGTTTTGTTGGAACACGTTTGAAGAACAATTATTACGTTTTTCTCTATCAAGTTTACCCTGGTGCTAAATTTGTTTGAGTAAAAATGCCAACAAACGTGGTCATACCCCGATTTATAGGTAATTATTGACCGCCATATAAACGGATATCCTTACATTGCCAAGACATAGGATTGGAGCGGGAATACCCTTCATTTATGAATGATTCCTCCACTGTGTTCTGATCTGATCACAGTAATGGACAAATACCAAGGTCGCCAAATTAAAGGCCTGATCGAGGGTCTTCAATTGTGATTCTGTGAAACTGCTGAGTTCAAGGTTCCCTACGGGATGGACAGCAGCTATGTTTACATAGGTGTCCCTGGAAGAAAGGAGTTCCTGACCCTCTGTGAGGTGGAGGTGTTTGCCTCTGCACTGGATTAGCATTACATGTAATGGATTTGCAAAGATGCTGTAATGTGTACACAAAGCATCCAAAATAAAATCTTAAATGTTGTTGTTTGCATGACGTCAATATTTACTATATACATTCTTTTTTTTTTCTTTTCTTAACTACAGATAAATATTATAAAAGACATCTGAAAGCTTTCTTACCAAAAGTTAGATCAGAAGATCAATCCCCATCATGTCTGTGAGAGTGGTATCTTGATAACTGAAGGGCCGCAGACAATATTAAAGTTCAAACAACTAATGTATGTCTGGAGGCCCAAACAAAGACCAGTTTCCTCTGTATGCCTGAGCCGTTTGTGTTTTTCTGTAGAAAGCATTAATAACAAGACTTCCTTTGGCAAAAAATACAATAAGAAAGAAAGATAACCTTTTTAAGGCCGTACAGTTGTATTTCACAAAAAATGTGGGTATTTACAAAAAGGTTCTGACAGGGCACAGTTAGAGGTAGTCTACTTGTTTTGCCATAAAAAACACAACTCTTTCTGTCATTTTATAACTGGATTAGGAATAAAGTTTGCCTGCTGAAAGCTGAATGATATGCAGTAAAAATTGTATTTCAAAGCTTCCAAACATAGGAAGAGAATTGTCCAAAGACTCTTTAAACACTGCTGGCCTCTAAAGAAACATTTCAACAACTTTTGAAAACTACAACTACAGAAAAATGTGGATTAATGAAGTTTAATATAATCAACACTTAAATAAGACTTGAGTTCCACCTGGAGTAAATTCACAAGCTACCCTGCAGTATACAAAGCCATTCAAACTAGCTGCACCTTTACCAGCTTTGAGAACACTTTAATGATCAATCATTATAAAACATATCATATATATTATTCTGAAATGGACCAATCTGCACAATTACTACTTTTACTGTCGCTACTTTCACTATATTTTGAAGCTAATACTTTTTCTACTTTTAATTGATAAATATTTTGAATGCAGGACTTTAACTGTAACAGAGTTTTCCTACACTCTGGTACTTCTACTTTTACTTAAATAGAAGATCCAAGTACTTTTCCCACCTCTGCACACGGCATCATATAAACATATGTTTCTCTTGCATTTGTAGCTATGACACAATATATATAATATATATATATATATATATATATATATATATAATATATATATATGTCAATGTGATAAACTAAATCCTAGTTAAATGAAACTGTTGGATCAGTGCAGTTATTTCTCTGAGATTAAAGCAATGGTTGCGCAAACCTGAATTTACGGGAATGTTTCATCAGTGTGTCGTTAGATAACTACTGGAACCTTGATCTGCTGACTGGAACTGGGCTCATGTGCGTGGGAGTATACTACATGGTATTAACTGATTGGATGCTGATCATGATTATTGATCGACTTTGGGGGAAGATATCATACAAATAGCTCAGCTTTAAGGGTTATTATCTACAGACACTTCTTGAAGTAACTTCGACTCAGAGTTATTTTGTTGGGACAAACCCTCTATTCTCACTGGGAATCAGGGTAAGCATTTAAATTCTCATTCCTACTATTTTATTTTAAAATATTGTATGTTTCAAACATTTTGTAATAATATTAATGTTTGCAGTGGTAGAAGAAGTATTCGGCTCCTTTACTTAAAAACTCAAAATCCAAAAATAATTCACATTTGAAAAGCTAGAACTGAAAAATACTTACACCCAAAAATGTATTAAACAATTAGTAAAAGTAAAAACAGAAATTCTGGTTAATAATCTGGGGAGATTTACTCCTAGGATCAAACCAGAGGTCACAAGTCTTGGTGTCGTATTAGATTCAGATCTAAGCTTCAGCTCTCACATTAGCAATGTAACAAAAACATATTTTTTCTTAGAAACATTGCTAAAGAAAAAAACATTCATAAATCAAAAAGATGTTGAGAAACTTATACTTGCCTACGTCTCAAACTGGATAGACTACTGTAATGCACTTTTCAGTGACCTCCCGTAAAAAACGACTGACAGACTTCAGCTCAACCAAAACTCTGCAGCTCTGCGGATAACCAGAACTAAGAAGAGAGAACACATTAGTCCAGTTTTAGAAGCTCTTTACTGGCTTCCTGTTTACTTTAGGATTGATTTGAAGGTCCTCCTCCTGACATATAAGGCCCTTAATGGGCAAGGACCTAGCTATATTGCTAACTCCCTTGTCAGCCACAAGCCGTCAAGAACACTGCGTTCTTCTGCTGCTGGTTTGTTAGAGGTTCCCAGAAACAGCCGCAAAAAGACGTTTGGTGATGCAGCTTTCGTTAATTATGCCCCAAAGCTATGGAACAAAATACCTAGAGACATCAGGGATGCCTGCTCAGTGGAAGTCTTTGAAAATAAAAATACAATTTAGCCTTTTAGGAAGCAAACTCCTGCTCTCTGCTGCACTTTCTCAATGAACTCTGATGCATTTTGACCTGTCACCTGATTGTGTGTTGCACTATCCTCCTTTTAAAGGGGACCTATCATGCAAAATGCACTTTTTGATGTCTTTCATACATAAATATGTGTCCCCGGTGTGTCAGGGATGTTTTGTATCTTGCAGACAGGTTACGAAAAATCATTTATTTCAATACACTTAGATCTGATTTTCATTTCTTAAATGATGCCTTTCAGAAATAACAAAGAAATGTGTTTTATGTTAAATATATTATTTTAATGACTATCCTAGGTCTCATCCAGAATGATGAAACTCAGTGTTTTCCTTCTCATGCTCCTCATGGAGACGTGCTCAGTCTCCACTTATCGTGAGTATGAATTGTTTGTATAAGGCGTCTTCACTATAAAACATATCAGGGAAGTGAATGTAAGGCTGTCCGTTAGCAAGAAAAGCAGGTTTATACAAAGTAAGTTTCATTGTCTAGATCAGAGGTTCCCAACCTTTTTTGTCTCGTTTACCCCTTGAGCTGGTCTCCATTCTATAAGAGCCCCCTCACTCATCTGTGATGATGCGCCTACATTTTTTCTTGTTAAATCCTTTTCTAATCGTATTTAACCAAACTGCTCCTTAGTTGATAAGTCACCCTTAATACAAATGCATTTAATCTTGACATTTAAGCATTTAATTTTGTATATATATAATATCTGCATGTATATTTTCTATTTCGACATGTATATTTTATATTTTATTTTATTTCTATTCTTGTATATTTTGTTTTATTGTAAAAAGCCTTTTATGCTGCTGTAACAAAAACAATTTCCCAATTTGGGATCAATAAAGTACGATCTATCTATCTATCTATTGACCTTTACACTTATTCTAGCAGTTTCAACATCTTTTGTTAAGACTAGAGCTTTTAAAGAGACACTCGACCTTGCTTATCTTTCGTAAACTTTAACAACCCCTGGTTGGGAACCACTGGTCTAGATTATAGCTTTAGCTCCAACAAAAAGAGTTATTTAATGCATGAAATATTGTAATCTCACTGCTCACATTAGATATATACTGTATGTTTTGCTGCTCCAATAACTAGTTATTGTTATTGTGGTAATACTGTTTAAATGTAACTGTGAACACATTGCCATGTAAGAAATCCCAGCAAAGCGACACATTACATTACATTGCATTTAGCTGACGCTTTTATCCAAAGCGACTTACAATAAGTGCATTCGACCAAGAAGATACACACTTGTGTGATTTCCATCTAAACAAGGAACTGTCATAAAAGCCAAGTGGCTGAAAAGTTAACTCAATGCAGAAGTCCCTAAAACCTGCATTCTTTCTAAAAGTCTGATTGTGTAGAAGTCTATGAAAAATGTTCTTGCAACTCACTTGATGTATTACCGCTGGAAAGAGTGTAACCATTAGTTTATGATCTCAATTGTTTGTTTCAAGTCTTCTTCAATCCAGCATGATGTTCAAGTTGTAAAATATGGTCCCATTAATAGGAAAAAGAGAAAGGATGTACCAGCCTTTCATGTCACTTATGATTACTAAAACAAGTCTTATTTTATTTAATGTTTAATTTGCCAAAACTGACATTTAGTTAAACTTAGTGCAGTTGTAGTTATATATAACTTTAAATATAGACACAATATATTATAGACTACAGTATTATATTACTTTTATTCCTCTTTTCCAATAACAAATAACTGTATGGTAGTTATTTCTTTATACAGTATATGGTGGGGTTATCCCTTTTATGTCCTTCATCCTGACGGCAAATTAAATCAAATCTTTTGAGAGTCATGGTGAAACAGTATAATAAAAAACAATCTGCATCAGGAGTCATACATGTTATTGATTTAACCTAAATCTTTGTTTTGTTTTTTAGTTGCAGGAGAAAACCTGGCCGTTCAAGGAACAGCCGCACAGTCATCAGTGTATGGGTCTGGCCCTGCAGATAGAGCCATTGATGGGAATCGGTCCCCCACGTGGGGTCACGGTTCCTGCAGTCACACAAACAATGATGTGAACCCCTGGTGGAGGCTGACTCTGTCCAAAACATACAAAGTGTTTTCTGTTAAGATAACCAACCGAAATGAAGTCCCCGAACGACTCAATGGAGCCGAGATCCGCATTGGAGATTCTCTTGTAAACAATGGTGCTGACAATCCCAGGTAACTTAGAGCCTGTCCTATTACAATACTAATATTAAAAAGTCACTAAATTGGTATTTTGTTGGAACACGTTTGAGGAACAATTATTCAGTTTTTCTCTCTCAAGTTTACCTGGTGCTACATTTTGGATTAAAAATCCTTACATTGCCAAGAAATAGGATTGGAGCGGGAATACCCTTCATTTATGAATGATTCCTGCAATGTGTTCTGATCTGATCACAGTAATTGACAAATACCAAGGTCGCCAAATTAAAGGCCTGATCGAGGGTCGTCAATTGTGATTCTGTGACATGATTTGAAAACATTTATTTAAACATTACTGAAATATAAATATTGTTCATTATCAAGCCCTAATTACAGTAAAAGATCTGCAGCCAACATTCTAACCAAGTAAAGCGTAGAAACCTAATGATGCTTTGAGTGCATGTTGAACTTAAAATGAAAAGCCTATTACTTCAATAAACCCTTCCTGAGGTTAACGTAGTGATTTCTGCTTCTTCTACAGGTTTGCTGTAATCACCAGCATCCCGGCAGCTGAAACAGCTGAGTTCCAGTTTCTCAACGGGATGGACGGCCGCTATGTTTACATAGGTATCCCTGGAAGAGAGGAGTACCTGACCCTCTGTGAGGTGGAAGTCTACGGGTACCTTGCCCCAACTGGTGAGGGTTTGGGATCTTACATAAATAATGTGTGATTTCCATCTAAACAAGGAACTGTCATAAAAGCCAAGTGGCTGAAAAGTTAACTCAATGCAGAAGTCCCTAAAACCTGCATTCTTTCTAAAAGTCTGATTGTGTAGAAGTCTATGAAAAATGTTCTTGCAACTCACTTGATGTATTACCGCTGGAAAGAGTGTAACCATTAGTTTATGATCTCAATTGTTTGTTTCAAGTCTTCTTCAATCCAGCATGATGTTCAAGTTGTAAAATATGGTCCCATTAATAGGAAAAAGAGAAAGGATGTACCAGCCTTTCATGTCACTTATGATTACTAAAACAAGTCTTATTTTATTTAATGTTTAATTTGCCAAAACTGACATTTAGTTAAACTTAGTGCAGTTGTAGTTATATATAACTTTAAATATAGACACAATATATTATAGACTACAGTATTATATTACTTTTATTCCTCTTTTCCAATAACAAATAACTGTATGGTAGTTATTTGTTTATACAGTATATGGTGGGGTTATCCCTTTTATGTCCTTCATCCTGACGGCAAATTAAATCAAATCTTTTGAGAGTCATGGTGAAACAGTATAATAAAAAACAATCTGCATCAGGAGTCATACATGTTATTGATTTAACCTAAATCTTTGTTTTGTTTTTTAGTTGCAGGAGAAAACCTGGCCGTTCAAGGAACAGCCGCACAGTCATCAGTGTATGGGTCTGGCCCTGCAGATAGAGCCATTGATGGGAATCGGTCCCCCACGTGGGGTCACGGTTCCTGCACTCACACAAACAATGATGTGAACCCCTGGTGGAGGCTGACTCTGTCCAAAACATACAAAGTGTTTTCTGTTAAGATAACCAACCGAAATGAAGTCCCCGAACGACTCAATGGAGCCGAGATCCGCATTGGAGATTCTCTTGTAAACAATGGTGCTGACAATCCCAGGTAACTTAGAGCCTGTCCTATTACAATACTAATATTAAAAAGTCACTAAATTGGTATTTTGTTGGAACACGTTTGAGGAACAATTATTCAGTTTTTCTCTCTCAAGTTTACCTGGTGCTACATTTTGGATTAAAAATCCTTACATTGCCAAGAAATAGGATTGGAGCGGGAATACCCTTCATTTATGAATGATTCCTGCAATGTGTTCTGATCTGATCACAGTAATTGACAAATACCAAGGTTGCCAAATTAAAGGCCTGATCGAGGGTCGTCAATTGTGATTCTGTGACATGATTTGAAAACATTTATTTAAACATTACTGAAATATAAATATTGTTCATTATCAAGCCCTAATTACAGTAAAAGATCTGCAGCCAACATTCTAACCAAGTAAAGCGTAGAAACCTAATGATGCTTTGAGTGCATGTTGAACTTAAAATGAAAAGCCTATTACTTCAATAAACCCTTCCTGAGGTTAACGTAGTGATTTCTGCTTCTTCTACAGGTTTGCTGTAATCACCAGCATCCCGGCAGCTGAAACAGCTGAGTTCCAGTTTCTCAACGGGATGGACGGCCGCTATGTTTACATAGGTATCCCTGGAAGAGAGGAGTACCTGACCCTCTGTGAGGTGGAAGTCTACGGGTACCTTGCCCCAACTGGTGAGGGTTTGGGATCTTACATAAATAATGTGTGATTTCCATCTAAACAAGGAACTGTCATAAAAGCCAAGTGGCTGAAAAGTTAACTCAATGCAGAAGTCCCTAAAACCTGCATTCTTTCTAAAAGTCTGATTGTGTAGAAGTCTATGAAAAATGTTCTTGCAACTCACTTGATGTATTACCGCTGGAAAGAGTGTAACCATTAGTTTATGATCTCAATTGTTTGTTTCAAGTCTTCTTCAATCCAGCATGATGTTCAAGTTGTAAAATATGGTCCCATTAATAGGAAAAAGAGAAAGGATGTACCAGCCTTTCATGTCACTTATGATTACTAAAACAAGTCTTATTTTATTTAATGTTTAATTTGCCAAAACTGACATTTAGTTAAACTTAGTGCAGTTGTAGTTATATATAACTTTAAATATAGACACAATATATTATAGACTACAGCATTATATTACTTTAATTCCTCTTTTCCAATAACAAATAACTGTATGGTAGTTATTTGTTTATACAGTATATGGTGGGGTTATCCCTTTTATGTCCTTCATCCTGACGGCAAATTAAATCAAATCTTTTGAGAGTCATGGTGAAACAGTATAATAAAAAACAATCTGCATCAGGAGTCATACATGTTATTGATTTAACCTAAATCTTTGTTTTGTTTTTTTATTGCAGGAGAGAACCTGGCCGTTCAAGGAACAGCCGCACAGTCATCAGTGTATGGGTCTGGCCCTGCAGATAGAGCCATTGATGGGAATCGGTCCCCCACGTGGGGTGACGGTTCCTGCACTCACACAAACAATGATGTGAACCCCTGGTGGAGGCTGACTCTGTCCAAAACATACAAAGTGTTTTCTGTTAAGATAACCAACCGAAATGAAGTCCCCGAACGACTCAATGGAGCCGAGATCCGCATTGGAGATTCTCTTGTAAACAATGGTGCTGACAATCCCAGGTAACTTAGAGCCTGTCCTATTACAATACTAATATTAAAAAGTCACTAAATTGGTATTTTGTTGGAACACGTTTGAGGAACAATTATTCAGTTTTTCTCTCTCAAGTTTACCTGGTGCTACATTTTGGATTAAAAATCCTTACATTGCCAAGAAATAGGATTGGAGCGGGACTACCCTTCATTTATGAATGATTCCTGCAATGTGTTCTGATCTGATCACAGTAATTGACAAATACCAAGGTCGCCAAATTAAAGGCCTGATCGAGGGTCGTCAATTGTGATTCTGTGACATGATTTGAAAACATTTATTTAAACATTACTGAAATATAAATATTGTTCATTATCAAGCCCTAATTACAGTAAAAGATCTGCAACCAACATTCTAACCAAGTAAAGCGTAGAAACCTAATGACGCTTTGAGTGCATGTTGAACTTAAAATGAAAAGCCTATTACTTCAATAAACCCTTCCTGAGGTTAACGTAGTGATTTCTGCTTCTTCTACAGGTTTGCTGTAATCACCAGCATCCCGGCAGCTGAAACAGCTGAGTTCCAGTTTCTCAACGGGATGGACGGCCGCTATGTTTACATAGGTATCCCTGGAAGAGAGGAGTACCTGACCCTCTGTGAGGTGGAGGTGTTTGGCTCTGCACTGGATTAGCATTCAATGTAATGGATTTGCAAAGATGCTGTAATGTGTACACAAAGCATCCAAAATATGTGCACCTTAAATTTCATTGTTTGCATGACGTCAAGATTTACTGTTGGAGATTGCAACAAAAGTCTGCCTTGACTTTTGCTTTTACACGGGACTTGTACACCTTTTGGGAATGTGCTTGTTTTATGTCATAAGAAAATAACTGATTTTTTGTTTCTATCAATCATTAAAGAACAGTGAAAGCAATGGTTCTGAAGGCAGGTTTTTTATTTATTTAAATACAGACAAAATAGACAAATATTATAAAAGACATCTGAAAGCTTTCTTACCCAAAGTTAGATCAGAAGATCAATCCCCATCATGTCTGTAAGAGTGGTATCTTGATAACTGAAGGGCCGCAGACAATATTAAAGTTCAAACAACTAATGTATGTCTGGAGGCCCAAACAAAGACCAGTTTCCTCTGTATGCTTGAGCCGTTTGTGTTTTTCTGTAAAAAGCATTAATAACAAGACTTCCTTTGGCAAAAAATACAATGAGAAAGAAAGATAACCTTTTAAAGGCCGTACAGTTGTATTTCACGAAAAATGTGGGTATTTACAAAAAAGGTCTGACAGGGCACAGTTAGAGGTAGTCTACTTGTTTTGCCATAAAAAACACAACTCTTTCTGCCATTTTATAACTGGATAAGGAATAAAGTTTGCCTGCTGAAAGCTGAATGATATGCAGTAAAAATTGTATTTAAAAGCTTCCAAACATGGGAACATCATTTTCCAAAGACTCTTTAAACACTGCTGGCCTCTAAAGAAACATTTCAACAACTTTTGCATAAAAATACTTACACACAAATAAAATATAAAAATAGCGTACTACAGAAAAATCTTTCCCCAGATCAGCGCTGTGCAGAACAATAGAAGAAGTCAGATTTTGTCAAGTTTGCAAAGGGTATTGCTTCACAGTATGTGGACATCAATGATTGGGCCTGCCAGACAAAATGTACTTCTTAAGCCAAAGTCAAAGAAAATAAATTCCTAACATTAAGAAATAATACTGATGTATGAACAGCATGTCTTTGAAAACACTGTTTCCGAAAGTAAAGATTCTATATGACAGAACCAAGAGAACAATAAAAAGCTAGGAAACCTTTTGGTGTAATGGAAACATTGCTGTATGAAAACAATGCAGCAGTAAAGATGGTTGGCAACAGTCCACAGACACTGAGAAGTCAGGGCGAAATGTCCAACCGCTCAGTGAATCACAGCACCGCAAAGAGGGGGGACCGTTGGGCTTCGAGTAAAAAGCAGCAATGTCAGTGACTGATCAAAACCTAGTGAAAGATCAACAGGTGCTGAACTAGTCCATCTCACTGTGTTATCTGAGATCTTTGGAGACTTTTAGAACTTTGTAGATGTCGTTGGAGAAGACTGTGGTGAAGTGGGGTCGTGAGCTTCTGGACATGTGGGTGCAAAGGGGAACTTTACCAACGTTTTGGGAATCCTCAATGTCCCAGATCTCAGGCATGCTGCACCCGGGCCTGAGCGAAGAGAAAGGAAGACATGGTTAATGATAATTACACACTATTTGTCCTGCAATTCAAGTCAATTTAGATTTTTTAAATGATTATATATAATATATATACATAACCATGTCCTAAAATGCACACATGAGTGGTTACCATCAATTACAGAATACAGGGTGCCATGATTTAACCATACAGAAACACTCTTTTCGGCACCAGTTAAAGAGGCCCTATTATGCTTGTAGGGGTTTCCCCTCTTCTGTAGTGTGATATAAAGGTTTGTGTGCCACGTTAGAGTCACACAATACAAATATGAACCTGAACATTAGCATAATATTTCCTCTTTAGTGCAAAATAAAGTTTAACCCCAGATCAAATGCAATGTAAATACTGTTATATTATATTTTACTATATATTTTGTATTATTCCAAAATATTTTTCTAGTTCTCTTCCTCTGTTTTTAATTCTTGTTTTTATGCACCACGACACCAAGTCAGATTCCTCATATGTGTAACCCAGCGCCATATAGATAGAAGAGTTACGACAGCGGAAGTCCAAAATGCTTGATCGTCACGTGGTTCAGGGAGAGTCAATAGTTCCCCGGAAGTTCGTGGCGGGACATATGAATGCATGATTACCGGAGATAGAACTACGATTTTTGGTAATAAGTAGTGAATAAAGGTCTTAATTTACAATATTTATACAACATACCGATATGTGTATGTATTTACATCAATATGTTTTAAAAAATAAATAGAATCTGCTAATATTTATGGATAATATTAGGAATAGTGTGAACAGCTAGTTTACTTGTTAACATATACATGTTAGGCTAACGTTGCCTTGGTTAAAGAGCCTGTTGCTGTTGTGTATTGCTTTGAATTATTTAAAACAAATATTATCTTCTTAAACAGGTATGGTAGTCAGGAGCATCACTTCCTAATGTTTATTGATATATTTAGAGGGAGGGGATGGTAAGGAATGCTTCAAAATTTAGATTAGATTAATTTCTACCATTTTTTTAATTCATGGTGGTTTCAGTAATTCCATGGTACTTGAGGACATAAGTAATCTAAATGACTAATGTACTCTTTATGACTTTCAGAAAGGACAGGAGACCAACAGGTGACTATCAATGGACTAGCAGCAACATGAACATCCATTGTAAATACATGGAATTCAATAAACATTGAATAGCATGTCATGCAGTTTGTCTGTGCCTTTTCCTCCGTGTTGTCCTGGCATATAGTCTCCACCATGGTTTGCTGTGCTGCCTGGGGATGCTCCAATCGTTCAGAGAAAGGAGTAAGAATCAGAATGTACGGCTTCCCCACTGACACAGAGAGGAGGAAAAAATGGCTGGCTCAAGTCAGCAGGAGCAATTTAACAATCAAAACAGACAGCCGCAACAAAATATGTGAGGTAATCATATTCAAACACTGCATTTGCACTTTTTCACAAAACGAAGACCACACCATTGGGAAGCTTAATGTTTGGTTTAATACAAATAACAGGGAAAGGCTTGAAGAACTCTGAGAGTTGAGGTGCAGGGTGAGGGTCTCAGTGCAGGTATTCAGGCTCTATTGAATCCCCCTCTGGTTCTTGTGCTGAAAGAGGGAGAAACAGACAGGAGAATGGGTTATACTTAAGCAATAGCTCACGACAGGCCGTGGTATATGCTCATTATATCACAGCTAAGGGGCGTGGTTCGGCCCGACGCGAAGCGGAGGGTCGACAACCCCCTTAGCTGTGATATAATGAGCATATATCACGGCCTGAAGTGAGCTATTGCTTTTATAAAACGGTTACCAAGTGTGGCAATATGAAAGAAAAATACACACTCTAATTTAAATAGTTTTTATTAGTAAATAATGATGTTCAAAATAAAATAGTCCCTCTGTTGCCTTCTGCACGAAACATAGTGCGAAGTGGTTGCTATGCAACAACACTAACAACAGCTAGCGAACATATTAGACAGAGAGCGTTGATCCATTATTTGGCTATTTATTTACATTAATGTGTATGTTGCCGTTTATTGTGCACCCACTGAAAAACTGTCCAGCATCAGTAGCATGGCTTACGTGGTTACTTGTATAGGCTGAGGTTGTTCTAGGCTGTTGCTTGGCGTGGCGAGAATATTGCTCCACTTTCTCCGGTCCCCGAGATTCGGCTTCCAGTAGCTCTGGAGAGAGCTTTCGCACCTGTGGCCACTAACGGTCATAATTTCTCTGCTTTGTTTCAAGACCCGCATCAGAAAGCTTTTGAATGGTGATACTTTTCCAGTTGGTCTACCTGCTCTTCACGTAGCTCTACATGTCGTCGTTTAGGTGCTTTTTGTTCTGGAGATAGGCACTCCTCAATCCACTCCTCCATAGTAAGACCCCCCCCCCCCGGAGGTCGAAGTTAATCTTAAATGTTTTTGCAGACCTTTTTGATTACAGATTTGAAAACATCGTTGCTTGCTTTAAAAGTAGCACAATTCATTATGTCAAACCTTGGAAAGTATCTAAATATCCCTGCCCTAATGCCAAAGGAACTGTACACTGAATATGTTTTTGCCGTTTGATGTCTATGTCTGGGCCGTTGCGTAAAAAGGAGGGTTTCTGCCCCGTTACTTTACACTGCTTTCTTGTTTCAGTTTGAAAAGCAAACTGCAGGCAGTTTGCTTTTCAGCCCAACTGTATACTGTTTATCTCAGACGCGGAGGGATACTGAGTTGTTGTGAAAAGTAATTTACAATTCTACCCGTGGTATACGCTCAGTATACCACGGCTAAGAACCAATCAGATTGCTTGATTTTACTTGTCCGTTTTATAAACACCTATATAGCACACCTATTGGATGGGAAATTGCCTTGGGGAGATAAGGTGTGGTCTTTGTTTCCAACTGAAGTTATGGAACTTTATTATTTGTGAGTTTAACAAAGTATGACAAATGGCATCAGTAATGGATGTGATATGAATTTGTATAAAGTTGTCTCACATTCTTGGTCGTATTTTACGTACAGTATGTAATGAGTGTATACATGTCCAGTAAGTCCTCCACCTGTAACATCACTGCCCCTCCACCTGCCATACAGTAGGTTACTAATATACACTAACAAGATTACTTATATAATACAGTGATAGAATACATGTTTAGTATGCTTACTAATATACAACAGTAGTATTAAATGTACCTTGTGTTTTCACTCTCCCTTTGCCATCATTTCAAAATCAGCTGAGCTGCAACATAATACAGACAGGTAATAATCAACAGAATACACTAAAAACACTCATAAATTACGTTTTTGTTTACTGTTTGGAAGTCTCAAATATGCACTCTAAATTAATATCAATAGCGATGTATCACACAAATAGCTCTCTTCCTTATTATTGTGTAATGTTAACTTTATTATACTAGTTTGTAGGCCTACTCCAAAATGGAGATCGTAATTTCTCCACCTCCACTCATTACAATCACACGTGCCCCAATGTTATATTTAACTAATATTATATTCCTCCACCCCACAAAAAAATCACGTTTAGAAGCCCTTTTTCTCTAATTCCACAACGTTGGATGAAATAACATTAGGAGAACGGATTAATAGCTGTTCATGGTTAACGTGTGTTGCTAACTTTATCCGGTATCCTAGCCTAATCTGTTATCTGTAAACGTTCCCTAAATCTACTGATTTAGGGATAATCCACTAACATCCTTTAATACACATGTTCATTTGACTCAGATGT